TTAGGGACGGCTAGCGCAGATAGCCCTTGTGTAGCTTTGCGCGAAATTACAAAAACAAACAAACAGTTATACAATTAAACTATTTGTGTCTCCAACTCGAAGAGATTTACCAGTATAACAATTATAAAACTTTATAACATTAGAAATATATTGCTGTATATGAGAGCTAACTTAATTAGAGCATGCTAGTTTCGTTAACTTTGTTTTTGAATTTAATCTATGAGAGTAAAATAACAAACAACAACAAAAATACGTTTCCATATTTGGATGTTCAGCTACAATAATTAGTGAAAAGTAGGCCTAGAGAAATGGAGGGGGTTAAAATGATACTCGCTTGTGAAAACAGAGTATAAAACTTTTGATTTAAGAAAATTGTGTTCAAACACTGATTGAAATAATTAATATCGACGTTTCGAACAATCACGTTTCGTCATCGTTATAGATATATTCTAAACAATGTTTTGAAAAAGAGGATTTGTTTGTTTTTAATTAAGCAAAAAGCTACACAATGGTCTATCTGTGCTCTGCGTACCACGGGTTTCGAAACCCGGTTTCTAGCGTTGTAAGTCCGCAGACATGTCGCTGTGCCACAGGGGGGCGAAGTGGAGAAAAAGTCAGTAAGACTGACTTGCTAATATGTGCAAATTTTTTCGTGTTGCACGTATACGGAAATCTTTTATTGAGTTAAAAATATTTTACTTGAGAAAATTTAACTTTTTTTTTTCTTATTTATTTCTCAGATACTTTTGCCAGTAAGGTGGCGGCTGTCAACGATAGATACGCCGACTCTTCTATTGGGAACGTGACAGGTAGTAACGCTGTGAACGTGTTTTTAGGAATTGGGATTGCATGGTCCCTAGCAGCAATCTACCACGCCATCAAGGGTACAACATTTACAGTTAATCCCGGCAGCTTGGCGTTTTCTGTTACACTCTTCTGCGTTTGTGCGTTCATCGTCGCGGTTGTCCTGATGTTACGGCGTCATAAGGCTGTCGGAGGGGAACTCGGAGGCCCAAGGAAGTACAAGCTACCGACTACGATAATGTTCTTCAGTTTATGGATCTTTTATGTTCTCATGTCGACTCTCGAGACATACGGAATTATTGCTGGATTTTAAAGAATCAATGGAAGACCTTCGGTCTTCATCCAAGATTGACTTTTTAGTTTTATGATATTGCTGGAGTTGAAAAAAGTCTAGCTTTACCTATCAAGAGGAATGCCTGGAAAATTATTGTCGTTGTTTTACATGAGAATATATAAACACCTAGTGTTCGTTAACAAGAGGTAATGGTTGGTTAAAGATTCTTATTGATAAAAAATATATAAGTTAGCGCCACCTATGAAAATAAGACTGAAACTCAATGAAAGAAAGAAAATTGATAACATATAATTAAGTTATAGTCAGTGAGCGTTATTGAAGGGATCGTAAGTGCGTCTTTTCATATTTTATTAGAAGTACGAGAAAATGTCTGCAGATGTTATTTGTATCCATATTTACAAACTTCAATATTTCACCACATCTAGGTGGATTTCAAAATATCAATCCTTTAACGCTGTTTGCTCCGGCATAATTCTATAAGTCGGGAGGGGTGGAATGCCCAGATGTTAACAACGTAAAGGATACGTGGGTTGCGTAGAGTCTTTATCGTATATGTAATATTTTAAACAATGGTTCTTTCATCTTCCGTGAAGCGTTAATAACGTATTAAACATTGTCTTTACGTGATCTCCACATCACAAAGAAGGTTCCAAAAACATTTCTATCTAAACACTTTCTATTAGTATTAATGTATTCCACAAATAGTCGCTGAAATCCTGATCGTTTATCAAAGTGAAGAATTATAACCCAATCAAGTGTCGTTTTCGAATCTTCGATATTTGCCAATGTTTTTGGCTCTTTAAATGTCAGAAAAATCTGTAATTCTAACAGTATTGCAAAAACTTTTACATCTATGTCCTTAAAGATACTTTTTTCTTTAGTAAGCTCGTTGTGTATTGAAAACTGGGCTCATCATCAGAATTGTGATTGGAATTTTGATGATACTGTGTAATTTTAATCGTTCGGTATTAGCCAAAAGAATTGAAAAATTATGACCTGTTTGTTTTTAAAATTACGGGTTTAAAAGCAGTGGATGAGATTAATATCTAGTCAATATAACAATAATATTGTTATGCTATAAAAAGAAGAAACCTGTAATTTCAATTATGATTTATGTGATTCTAAATTAATACTAATTGGAGATAATGATGGGCAGAATGGCAATATATATATATATATATAACTGTTCCGATTTTTGTTTCTGTGGGTTTAAGTTGTATTTAATAATCAGTTATATTTCAAGTGGCAATGTCGAAGCAAGATAGGAAGTGTTTTTTTTATTTATTATTATTGTTTTTCTTTCACGTGCAACAGTATAACAACTTTCACGTGCAACATTTAACGATTGTCTACATATTATAAGTCAACATTTTACCGTTGCTGACGAACCAAACTCCAAAACATTATTACACACTAAAAGGATCAAACCCGAAGCCTGTGTAATCCTCCAGAACTCACACGTTTTCTTTTTCAGGGTATTTTTACACACAAACACACACAGCCTGTTTGTCTTTATCTAAGCTAATTACTTCCTTTAAATCTGTAGTAGGAAGCTCCTTGCTATATACATATATATCACGTGACGACTATAACGTTTCTTATCGCCAACAAATTGAAACAGGGGTAGGTATAGAAGAAACACACATATACACATTTCAAGTTAATTGGATATGGTTTCTGTATTGCAACTATTTTCTCAGAAGCTTATGTTTTTGTTTTTTAATCCATCCATTCGATACATTAGCCCTAACTTTCCACTATACACAGATATAGTGTATTAGCTATCCTGCACATTGTTTTTACATGAGAAAACGAAACATATTAATACTAGAAATAAACGACCCTATAACACCAAAGTGTTGTTTTTATTTAATTAGACTCTCGGCGTTTTGCTTTACAGTTCCTAAAGGAGCGTTCACTAAAACATAAACCATAACTAACAGTACAAAGCTTCAAATGGTTTAAATAATAAATTCTAATCGAATCGATAACGTACATTTTTACAGCGTACATTTAATTATTTCAACAACAATTTTCTTTCAACAATAAGCTTTACTACTTAATATGAAGCTTTGTGCTGTCAGTTTCGGTTTGTGTTTTAGTGAACGCTCCTGAAGAAGCTGTAAAGCGAAATTTTGAGTGTCTAACTGAATAAAAACAACATTTTGGTGTTATAGGGTCGTTTATTTTTAGTATTAATATGTCTTCTATACACCAATATGCACTATTAAATAATGTAACAATTAAACTTTAAGGTGTCTAGTTGATTTATTATGTTTATAACCCTTATGGCTTCCCCGTGCTATCATCTGGTAGTAAAATACATATCAAGTATCACATTAGGAAGGCATTAAACAATATATATATGTGTGTGTGTGTTACTTACAAATATATATGTATATGTACGTGTGTTGAATCTGGAAATGTTAATAAATAAACTGAAGAACGCTAAGCTTCAGGTATATATATATGATGCTGTATGCAGTACATAAATGTGTTCTAGGTTTTAAACTAATAAGTATTGGATATTTGTGCTACTGTATATATTACGGATTTAATAGCTAAAACTATTTATAACCTGTGAGTTGTTCTGTTTTGTAGGCTGGAAAGAGTTATCGAATATCACATATGATTTTTTTATCCCTTCACTTTTACTGGCCATAAAAAACAAAACAAAAGAAAAACACCAGATATTACAATTTACTGTAATATCGCATTTTGATGTATCGTTTACAAATGATACAAAGTTAAGATGAAACATCACGTATCACCGATACGGTAAATTTACGTCATGTCTTGTGACTTCTTCAGGTAATACGGCCGAACACTCTCACATCAAGACTTATGAAAATTCATGAAAAAAAGTGACTACTACTTACTAATATTCAAGTGTTCTTATCAACACATGATTTGTTTGCATGCTAATTTGAATGGACTTTCTCACCCTTTCGATATTTTTAAAACTTTCTCTAGAATTTACATCTAACGTGCATAAGAAATTACATTTGTAAGGTTACTTCGTATTCTGTTTATGTTTTTTGCAGTCAATGTGATATATTACTTGAAGTGGAAAAATCTAGAATGTTATTTAAATTATATGTATTAAATTGTTAACAAAAAATTAAATCAGGGGTTCGATTCCCTCGGTGAACACAGCAGATAGCCCGATGTGGCTTTGCTATAAGAAAAACACAAATACACACACACATACAAAAACAAAATTAAAATCAGAATGAAATGAAAAGAACTATTGTTCATTTACATCATCTTCATCTGGTCTTGATTATATTTTGTTTATATCCAGGTTCACAATGTGTTTCTTCTAATTATTTTTCTTTATTTTCTTTACTTTTCCCGCTTCGCAGAACTTGTGTTACTTCAATAGTTTTGCAGATTCTATTAAACGTGAAAGTTTCTCAACTGTCTTCAGTGTAAAATATATATTAATTATAAATATTGTAAACACCCTTCATATCTAAAAATACGAGATAAGAAATGATGCTCTAAATTTACTTGCTTTCGAATCTTGGAAGAGTTTTGTGAGAAGTAAGTTTGAGAAAGTTAGAGTAATTTTGTATATATATTGAATTTATTACTTTAATTATTACTTTCAAACAAAATATTTGTTAATTTGCAAGTTTTCTATAAATGATTGAGAGGTATTAAAATCTTTATTTTAAGAACAATAGTTTTACTTATGAGTCACAAATTAGGATTATTCGAAATAATTATATAAAAGACTACCTTGAAAAACTAAGTTTTCTATAAAATTGAATAATTTAGTAAAAATACTGTATATATGAAACATTCGTATAAACTACAACAATGGAAAACGTGCACTATTGTTGACTCTGTAAAATGTTTTCAATATCTCTTCTTACCAGTTCGCGTCTATCATTGTTTGCTTTGATTGTGAATACGGTGAAACCAAGTCTTGTGGTTTACAGTGCATGAACTGATGAGTATAATCTCTAACTAGGTAATATGTGGGATTACGTCACAATACGACTGAACGAGCTTGTTCATTTTAGGAGTTTTAATAGTTTCTTTTTGAGTTTACTTACTGATTACAGATATTACTTTATTACGGGTTACAGCTTTTACATTAAGGAAGAATATTTTTAAAGGTAATAAAATCGTCTTTACCATTAAAACTTGTGTACTTGTGAATGATCGTACCAGTGACCGAAACGTTCCACCTGTTTTACAAATATTCATCCTTACTGTAAAAGTTGTAACTCGTAATAAAATAACTTTAGAATAATATTTTGTTGTTTACTCGGAATTTGTAGAGCATGCTGGATGGAGTTAGACATTTTAGTAATAAATTTGGAAACACAACTACCTTTACTCACCAGATAATAATAATAATAATTGTCATTTCAGCCAGCGTTTCGTCATTGCGGTTTCATCGGGCAAGTAATACAAGAACTGTACTTTTTTGTTGTTACTAGCCTTGATAAAGCTGCAAGACGAAATTTTGGCTGACATAAAGTTATTGTTATTATTATATGGAAAGTAAATTCTGTTGTTTTTTTTACAACATTTTTAGGAGAAACCCAATTCTGCTTGTTTAATATCGGTTTCAGATGTGCGATCTGAAACCGAGATTTTAGGAATTCATTTTCAATCTAACTATGACAAAAAAAAATCTCAGTTTTTAAAGTGCCACAGTTTTCTGTCACGATTTTCTGACAATTTAGACGTATTCTACGATTTTATCGCAATTACGTGTTTTTATATTTTAAATACCATTAAACTATCATACACCTAGTGGTGGACTCCTGCATTTTTTCGCCCAGTAAAGACATAGTGAACGACTGTTTAACCCTGAAAATGGCATACTTAAAACAACATAGCTTCACCATTCAAAAAATTTGCTTAAGTTGACATCTAAATTGAATTCTTACAAAACCTTCACCAGAATAATCTGATTCATCCGCTCTTCCTAAGATTCGTTCTGTCTTTCTTCTTTTTTTAATTCAATTATTCTTTAGAGCTCCGCCAAGTGAACGGACTCAACTGTACTCACGAGAAAATCCACAATGGGACACTGAAAAAATATATTATTAATTTTATCGTCAACTTTATTGTGGTGTGATATCACACGTATTACCTAGAATTGTTAAATACTTTGTCATTATTTGTAGTATTGTTGGAATGTGTGTTATAAAGCAGGAGTCAGTGTTGCTTGATAGTATATTAATAAATGGTTTGTTATATTGAAGGACGACTAGTGCTCATTTCAATTTAATGTTTCACGTTATATATAAAATTTCTTAATCGCAAGGTGAACAACAAGTGTTTTGTGCCAAGAAATGTAATTGGTCAAGACTTCATGAACGTAATGCTTTTCGTTTTTGTTATTGATACAGTTTACCCTATAGGTAGTCACAAACCGAAATAATTAATATAATATCTTATAACTAATGCAAACATGGAATATAAAGTAAAATTATAAAAGCGTTAAACATACACCTAGATGTTATTACATTGATGGTTTCAGTTTTCTTTATTGGATTATTTCCTAATGTATGAAATATAAAAGGGATATGAATATTTAATGCCTTTCTATCCATATTTATAAACATATATATATATACGTTATACAGCAGTTACGTATATACACGTATACTTGTTGACTGTTAGGCTTAAACATTTCAAATAGCAGAACTTGCCATACCATTTGTAAAGCCTTTCAAATATTTGAGCCTGGCACGGATTGGTAGTTAAAGCACACGAATCGCTATCTGCGGGTTGCAAGTTTGAATTACGCCACCAAACATGCTCGCTCTTTCAGCCGTGAGGGCGTTATAATGTTACGGGCAATCTCACTTTTGTTGGTAAAAGAGTAGCCCAAGATTTGGCGGTGGATGGTGTTGACTAGCTACCTTCCCTCTAGTCTATCACTTCAAAATTAGAGATGGCTAGTGCAGATAGATCCTCGAGTAGGTCTATCGCGCGAAATTCAACAAACAAATTTAAATAATTGATTAGCGCAGTTTTAACACCATCTAAAGGCAAATCCAAGCTTAAACTAATTTCCATGGTCCAGTTTTGCTTAAACAATAAAAAATACCTAAAATAATTCGGACATTTAGAACTCTCAAGAGACTACCAAATATGCGTCTTTAATATTCTCGTAATTTGTGAGTGACAATGCCACCTATTGACATCATTGTTTAAATCCATTTTACGAGAAAGCAAGGTGACTTTTGAATGCCTCGTCAGATTCATGACTAATATTCAAAAATAATAACCATGTTAAAAGTTCTTTAACTTTTGTTTTTATCCCCCTATATCCCGAAGAAAAAACTTTCATTTAGAGTCAGATAAGTCTGATCCAGTCGAAAGATAGTTTTATTACCGAAATGTTAACTTTTTTTTTTTATGCTGGAAACAAAAGGAGGATTTTTTTTCTTTGATAAATCAATTTACATTTTCATTAGGTTCCGTGGAATTAGAATGTTTTTTTTTAATTTCTCGCAAAGCTACACGAGGGCTATCTGCGCTAGCCGTCCCTAATTTAGCAGTGTAAGACTAGAGGGAAGGCAGCTAGTCATCACCACCCACCGCCAACTCTTGGGCTACTCTTTTACCAACGAATAGTGGGATTTACCGTCACATTATAACGACCCCACGGCTGAGAGGGCGAGCATGTTTGGTGTGACGGGGATTCGAACCCGCGATCCTCAGATTACGAGTCGAGCGCCCTAACTATGCCGGGCCTATATACATATATAAGCCATTTGATACAACGATATACCCCTTTTACAAGCTGGCAAAGAATGATCACAATTATACTTGTCACAAGACTTCTGTTATCTATATTACACTAAAGAGTTTTGTTGTTTGAAGGACTTTTTGAAGATATCAGAGATTTTCATTACGTTTTTGTCTGAAATTTTTGTCGTTTTTTTTTTTTGCTCGATGTTTTCGATCGCTCGTGCGATAATTGTAAAGTAGAGAAAGCTTAACGTCTTACAAATAAATAACATTTTCAGAAGAAAAAAATGAAAATCTATAATTTCTTCAAATATCTACCAACCGTAGGAAGACACAAGAGCTAAATTTTGTTGTTTGTTT